GATGCAACACTGTGGCGAGTACACTGGGCAGGCACTCGAGGCAGGTAAGATAAGCAGACTTATTCTTCTATCACAAACTTAGGATGCAGAGCGCCGACTAAGCCTATGACCTTATGATCAAACACTTACTGACTGTTGTCGATGTAAAGATGGACACAAAAGATTATCAAGGTAAAGCAATGCCTTTCAAGTGGGCACTGGTGACACTGTATGGATAGGCATAGCAGAGATGAGAATAAGTCTGGAGAACTTATGCGTCTCAGAGCTCTGGCTTATATACATGAGCGGAGGGACCCTTGGTACCCTTATACCCCAGAACCGCTAGCTAATGGACATTGTCTGATTGGTTACCACTACCTGTCAGACTATGTGTGTCATGCATGCTGAACCTCCTAACTACTTAGTAAGACCATGAGAATGGTATTGCCTGTAATGGCTACATCTCCAGTGGCGTGGTATCTATCTACCTCGTGTATGTGAACTAATATCCCCTTAAGGACATATCTCCGGTGGCGTGTATCCCCTTCATAGAATTCTTCCGGAGTCCGACCGTTGCTTCTAGGTGGGATGATATTACTGTATAAGTTAGGCTTACCTAATATCAGTGCTACCTGTCACATGTGTAGATATCACGTGATATGTCACGTGACTAGACTTCGACCTTTGGGGCACCTAGGACTGTCAGTACTTCACGTACCAGTTCGTTCCTTTCTGGACAGCCTAGCGCTGGTGTTATGTGATGTTCTAGTCACGTGCAGATTGAAAGACGTGAAAATCTGTGACAGCTACTACTATGCTAGTACTAAGATCTGGAGGTTAATACTAAGGTCTGAATGCTAGTACTAGCTTAGTACTAATCTTCAGAGCTTAGTACTAGCATAGTATTAGCATTCAGACTTTAGTACTAGCTCAACGCTAGCATAGTACTAACCTTCAGACCTTAATATTAGCATAGTACTAGCATTTGAATCTTAGTACTAGCATACTGCTAATATTAGAATCTTAGTATAACTCTTCTGACTATAGCACTAGTATAGTGTTAACATATAAACCTGAGTATTAACCTCCATATCGTAGTACTAGCGTGGTATATAAAAACAAGGATGTGACATAGTCACAATATTTTCATCATCTTTGATCAGAAAAGAGTGAAAAAAGATTTTGAAACTTTTCATCATAGTTTTGTATGAAAGATTGTAAAATGATTGAAGAAATGATTATTAATATTTCATGCAATCTCCTTTCATTCTTTTTTTCATCTTTCACAACAAAAGATGTTAAAATGATTTAAATACTTTTACCACAAATTGACAGTGAAGATGCTTAAAAGATTTGAACTTTTTATTCAACATTTTTACCATCTTTCACCTCAGATCATTGATTGCTTCATCCAGTGTCCATGGAATACCCAGGCAGATCATATCTGATCGAGGCACACAATTTTCAGCCAAACTATTCCAAGAGTTTTGTCAAAAACTTCATATCAGATCAATGATGTCCACAGCCTACCACCCTGAAATGGATGGACAGACTGAATGAGTCAATCAGATTCTGGAACAATACCTGCACATGTACTGCAATTACCGACAAACCGATTGTGCTATGTTACTGCCCACGGTGGAATTTGCATACAACAATCAGGCTTCAGAATCAACAGGTCTATCCCCATTCTTCATTAAGCATGGTCGACACCCCCGAATGGCCCCAGACATATTAGAAGGAATACAACATCCATCCCTGGAACATCTGTTCCACAACCACGATCAAGCACAGGAACAAGCTCATGCAGCTCTGACATTAGCAGCAGAGAAAATGAGATGGTACTTCAATCTAAAAAAGCAGGACATCCCTTTCAAAGTGGAGGATGAGGTGCTTATTTGATAAAAAGATCTTCACATCAAATTCAAAAGCCAGAAGCTTGCGATTCAGAACTATGGTCCATTCAAGATCCTCGAAAAGGTCAGAATTGTCTCGTTCAAGCTGCAACTACCAGCAGACATGAAGCTACATCTGGTGTTCCATGCATTCAAACTTATAATGTTCTATCAAGACTCCATTCCTGGACGCATACCCCCCTCTGAACCCCCCAGTAATCATAGATGAAGAAGAATAGTGAGATGTAGAAGCGATCCTGGACTCTAGAGTCAGGTATGACAAAACCCAGTATCTCGTAAAATGACTAGACTACGACCACAGTGATAATTCTTGGGAACCATTGAAAAATCTCACCAATGTCAAAGACAAGGTAGAGGAATTCCACAAGACACACCCAGATGCTCCACTAGCCAAGCCGCGAACGTGCAAAGGACACAAAATCACCATGACCGATCATCCTGATGAATTCACGATCTTTTACCGCACACACCCAGATGCAAGAGCACCTTATAAAGGATTCGCTGAGGCTGTTGGCTGAGATGTTAAGTCAACACAAGACTTAGAAATTTCCCCACAGTCCAGAATGCTTGTAGGCACAGAATTAGTGGTTGAACCCCCAAAGTGAACATACATCTGAGTGGCCCCTTGAAGTGGACTTGCCCTCAAAGGAATTGATGTCACAGCAGGGGTAATTGACCCAGACTATACAGGGGAAATCAAGGTTCTGCTTGTTAACACAACCAAAGAACCATTCAAGGTCAAAACAGGCAATCGTGTCACACAACTCATATGCGAACATTATGCTCCAGGAATTATTTCAAAAGCAGACAGTTCCATAGCCAAGAGGACAATGTGAGATGCCAAAGCGTTTGGCTCATCGAGACGATGAACCTTGAGAAGGGGGTGATGTCATAGTTTTACCTGACAAGTCAATTATAGAAACATACATAGTATTGAAACATATTATTTTTTGTCATTTCAAGTTGCACACAAGTCACGTGATCTAATGGAAGATAAGATACCCCAGAAAGTTGAATCCACGGGGACAAATGTTCCATGGAATGTGGAACATGGAACATGAAACATCACAAGTGTCTGCCTGTGACTGTGGGCACCACCGTTCGCTCTGCCGCCTTGACCGCCTGCCACCTTGACCACCCACCACCTTGACCACCGGCCACCTTGACCTCCTGCTACTGCACCTCCCAACCCTTAGCATAGATAATCATAGTGCATAGCTATATTGATCACACTGGTGGTCAAGGGCCACTTCTCATCTACAATATATATCACTAGTCCATCACCATGCAGTGCTCTCATTTTGCGATTACTGCTTCTCCATGGCATCAAGCACTGTCGACTGGATCACATTAGTGAATGCCATAGGACCTGTCAAGCTTCCTGACAATGCTCCTGCTGATCTCATCGCGCTCACCAATGCACTGAACTTGATTAGTTCTACTACGGAGACTTCTTCCAGCGATCATCTGTCTCCAGCAACAGCAATCTCGGAACAACCTGTTTCCACTGCTAGCGGATGATCCCAACCTACTGTGAGTGAAGCTGATTCCTCCTTGCAGCCTATAACTGAGGCAAATATTGAGTGCATGCCCGATCCACTTGTTAAGGCCATTCTATGATGCACGAAGTGCACAGCGACAATGGGAGATTTTCGTGTGCATGAAGGCAGTGCTGGAGAAAATGAACATCGTGGAAAGATCGTTCAAACGGTGTGTGCTCAGATAGTGTTGTGTATATGTTTGTCACCTTACACTTTCACGTCCAGTGTTCCAATCCAAGCTGTCATTATACCATCTATCACACTGTCACATTTATGTATAAGGATGCTGAGAACTTGCTCGGGCATATCAGGGCTCACAAATATGATCCCTCAGCATTCCTGCTCAGTGCACCACTTCAGGTGCAGTGCTTCGACTCACTCCATCTACGTTGCCGGCACCTCCTCCTGGATGGCTTGCATGTGCGAACCATTGTCAGACTCATATGGGAAATTCTACACAGGGCAATTGCGAATGCATTGGTCAACTCTGCAAAAGCTGCTGCATCAAGGCAGATGAGGCAGCTGTGGTGAACTGCATTCTCAGGCAGTATTGCAAGGTTCACAAGATGAACGGATTTGAAGGACCCAGCTTCCCTCAGCCTCCTATTCATCATGCTACAGTCACTCCATAGCACCTTCCTCACAACACAATACTCCTGTGGCTGCTTCTGGACCATCTCAGCAATCTGTGCTGCTTCCAGTGGCACCAGTGCCTACAGCTGTAGCATCCAATAATTGACCTCTTGCAATGCTGATTGGCCCTCTTTAGCAGGCACGGGTCACCTCAACACGTACAACTGCAGACATTGCCAAGACAGACAAGATGAAGCAGCAAGAGCTCAATCAATGAAAGAAACAGATGGTGACATTCGTCATCTGGTATAAGGTACGGCAGCGTTCATATTGACACTTTTTGCACGTCGCTGACCATGTTCCTGTAGGATGGCAAAGAGCCTGCATTATTGACAGAATTTCTGAACACATACCCTCAAGTGCAACTCGAAGACATTCCCCAGCTTGTGGATGCATTCAAGCTGACAACTATGTCTTTTGTGCAGTACTGGGAACCATGCGACTCCCAATGGCTGACAGGACACGTCCGTACAGTCATCACTGTTGACACAAGCAACCGACTGCTGCTGCGGCTTCTCAGTTCAGTCACGATGAAGTGGAGCAAGTGTCCCAGGTTGGATGATGAGCTTCAGCATCAGAGTCACAAAGCAAAGCGAGGTGCAGCCATACAGCTTGTATCACCAGTGAAGAAGGCATGTCACATGAATCACAGTCAGTCCAATGTTCATCACTCCAGCACCCATGTGGAGTCTTCAGACCTGGCAGCATCGTCATCTTGTGTGGATGATGGAGACCAATCTGAGTCAGCCAAGTGCAGTCACAAGGTGACAGCACAAGTTCATCCTTAGCACTTAAAGAGATTGCTATCAGTTGACATCACATTGAAGATGACACAAAGCCGCGAAAGTGGCCAATGGACCACTACATCTGCAAAATCGATGATGAATTTGTAAAGATGGACGAGCTCATGACCACCAATGTCAAGGGGAAAATCACTCAACGTTCAGCATTTGAGAAGGTGTTCGGACTTCTCCACATTCGCAATACATTCTGCAGAGCCCGTAAGATATGGTTTGGGTCACTAGAGGAGACTCGTGCAAGATTCGCTGCATATGGAAAGACTGATCATGGGAAGTGGAGAGAGTTCATCAAGGCACTGCGCAATGATGAACGCGATGATGATGATGAGCTGACATTCATTGATGACGATAAACTCTCCAACCATGATTATGATGACACACTGAACAAGCACAAGCAGACTCGGGTGACAACTTGGCCTATGATGCATGCATCTCCCCTTTGTCATCCTTCAGAACTTCCTGCCGATGCTGTCGAACTGCCTGCAGGGGATGCTGCTCAAGACTCAACATCAGCAGGTCAGTGTCACAGTTATATCGTGAGCTTATCTTGCTATTGACAATTGGACAGATCTCGACCCTACAGTCCCGAAATGTGAGTTCTGTGATGATGTATTGATGATTGACCCATCAGTCACATTGCTTGCTATGCACAAGGAGCTGCAGGACAAGTCTTGGCCTGCACCGACTGCTTGGAATCCTCATCATCATGATACCAAGCATTGGATGGTGTATCAAGAGTACTGCAAATGCCATTACTTTGAGTCAGCTGTCTTGCCACAAGCAGAACAGGCCAGCTGGCCATTGCAGGTGGACTTTTTCAATCTCTTGCCTCAACTTCTATGCTTGAAACCTGAGCTCGCTGAGCTGATTGCATGGCCTTAAGGCAATCACTTTTATAATATGGCATATAAGAAGTACACACCTGTACCCAGCACATCTACCATTAAAAGAGTGTTCGCAAACTTCACAGGCATTTCAGCTGGCTAGTACATGCCCAGACATTTCTTGAATGTGATTACTGTAAACGGATGGAGAACGAGTGGACGGGGGGACACGCTAACGGAGTGGGCTTCAGTTCTCTGATAGATGAGCAATTCTATTAGTATGTACCTAATGGAGCTACAGTACATTAGTATATAAGATACTTTCAGGTAGAATGACAGAAGGACTCACTGGGCTTCAGTTCTCTGATAGATGAGCAACTGAAGCCTGGGGGAAGGAGCAAAGCGAGTGAAAAGTCTGACGGGCGCTAATCCCCGATAAGTACGTAAAAGGAAATACCTACTGTTAAGTGAGATTGTAAGTCCATACTTAGTCTTGTCTATGCTTGCCATTTCAACACTCTCCCTCAAGCTAGGCGAAGTTCCAGCATTCCAGCAAACTTCTCCACCTTCTGACGGGTCAATGCCTTGGTAAGAAGGTCAGCGACCATGTAATTGGTCGGGCAATACAAGATGACAGCGTGTTCCATATCGATAACCTCACGAATAAAATGGTAGCGAATGTCGATATGCTTCATTCGCACATGAAGGAGTCCACTCTGTGCAATCGTGATTGCGCTCTGATTGTCGGCATGCAATGGTGTCAGTTCTGCCAGAGGCGAGGTGAGTTCTGTGAGAAGTGCACGTAGCCACAACAGCTCGCATGACACATTGGATGCAGCAATGTATTCGACCTCCATGGAAGACAGCGCGGTGAGAGGCTGCTTGCACGAAGACCAGCTGACAGCTCCTCCAGAGTAGAGGAAGCTGTAGGCCAAGATCAAGTGATGGTGGGCCTGTGAGGCCCAGTCGGCATCGGTGTAGCCTATAAAACAGTCAGTTGTCACACCGAACATCAAGGCCAGGTCATGTGTGCCTTTAAGATAGCACAGCACGCGTTTTGCGGCTTCTCAATGCATAAGCGCTGGGTCAGCCATGAAGCGCACCAGAGTTGAAGTGGCGAATGCGATGTCGGGACATGTGGCGATAGCAGCATACATTAGGCTCCCGACAAGCCTTGCATATAGCTTGCAAGCCATGTGCACGCGATCCTCATCTGTGAGCTCGATGCTGAAGAGATTAATGTGAGGGTCCATCGGAACCGTGAGTGCGTAAGCTTCCATCATGCCAAAGTGATCGAGTATCATGTCGATGTACATGGCTTGTGAGAGCGAGATAGTGCAGGCAGTGCAGTCACGGTGAATCTCAAAGCCTAGTAGCCAGCGTGCTTCACCCAGGTTGACAATCTCGAACCGTGCGGTGAGCTCCCGCTTGAGGCCAGTTATGGTGGCCTTCGTGTCTGTGATGAGCATGCAGTCATCAACATGCACAACAATGATGATGATGATGTTGGAGACAAAGGTGAAAAACACACCAAAATTGTGCTGGCTCCGCTGTAGGCCCAGGTCGGCAAACAGCTCGCAGAGCTTGATGTACCATTGCCGATCAGCTTGTTTGAGGCCATATAGCACCTTGAGCAGCTTCGAAACGTAGTTTTCACATCCGAGAACTTCGAAACCTCATGGTTGCTTCATGTAAATCGTCTCGTTGAGCTCGCCATTCAGGTAAGCATTTTGGAAGTCGATTTGATGGAGTTCCCAGTCATTGGCAGTGGCGAGCATGAGTGCGAGCTGTAGCGATGCAAGGCTTGCTGTCGGTGATGCTGTCTGGTCAAAGTCAATGCTCGGGATCTGCAAGAACCCTTGTGCACATAGGCGTGCCTTGTACTTCGCGATCTCGTTGTTCTCGTCGCGTTTCCTGTGAAGCAACCATACTGATCTGATGACATGCGCATTCTCTGGCTTCTTGACCAGCTCGTATGTTCTCATCACCTCAATCTTCGCCAGCTCCTCCTGCATTGCCTCTTGCCATTGCTCGTGTTCTGGCCCGGCCATCACCTCTCAGTACAATGGAGTGTCACCGGCCATGGCCACCAGAGCATAGAGGGTCTCCCCCTCATCGCCGTATTTATCCTCTGGCTGATCCTGCGCAAGCTTCGCATGCTCGAGAATGCTCCTCGGAACGTGCTGTGCGCCACGTCCACCAGTGGTGCCAGTACCTGACTGTAAGTCGCGTATCCATTGAGATGGCTGACACACACGTTTAGGATGTCCAGCTCCTGCCTCAGGCATGCTCTTCGGCTTGGTCACCATGCTCTCTGGCTGCAGCGGCTCTGTGTTCACATTTGTTGACTCATTCGGGACAGTTGCAGGTGGTTGGATGACATTGGATGACGTGATGGTTGCAGCTGATATGGAGGTCGATGGAGGTTGGAGTGAAGTGCCTGTAGGCACGTTCTGGCCGCTTTTGGCCTTGTTCGGCTCCCCCTTGGGCTGAACGTTGACGGAGATGGGTGCGTTTTCCTTGACAATATGCACGTTGCATTCAACGGATACCTTGTGCTTGTCGGCCCAGTACATGCGGTGGCCGTTGCTGTGCACATCGAACCCAACCCAGTGGCCTGGATGCGACTTCAGATTGAGCTTTGAGGCTGCGTCAACGCGCACCCATACAGTGCATCCAAAATGCGGTAGGGGGTCGAGATGGGGTTTCTCACTGGTAGCGCATTCGTGCAGGGTCGACCCATGGGTGCTGTGCATCGTCATGCAGTTGCGAAGCCACACGGTGTGCATGGCGGACTCAGCCCATAGGAATTTGGGGAGGTCCACGTCGAAGAGTAGCACACGAGAGTGCTCAGCAAGCATACAGTTAATGCATTTGGCTTTGCCGTTCTCCTGCGGGGAGTCATGCATGGTCTGGTGATGGTGTGTACCTTCGCTTTTCAGGTAAGTCTGGAACTCTGTACTCATGTACTCCCCTCTGTTATCGCTCTGCAGCTCCTTGATGGCCTTGACACCTTGGTGAGTTTTCGTCCATGAGCTGTAGGCCTTGTAATGAGCGAGGACATCACTTTTGCGGGCAATAGGGCAGATGATCACCTCGTCTGAGTAATTGTCTATAAAGGAGACGTAGTACTCCTTGCCTGCTAGGGACTTCACCAGCGCCTTCCCCCATACGTCCGTGTGCACGTGCTGACCATATGTGGTCACTTGTGGGCTCGAGCGTGCCTTCGAAAATGACTCACGAGTCTGCTTCGCCTTTGTGCATAGTTCGCAGAAATCAGTGGTCGAGTCCTCGAGTTGCACTTCAGTGATGATATTGGCCTCAACCATTTTCTTGAGGGCAGGGGCATGGGCATGTGCCATGCGACAGTGGAACTCAGTGAGTGACAGCGTCATCATCAATGCTGTGTCCTTCGTGGGTGCTGATGGGATCGGCGATCCAGGTAAGGGGTACAGACCATTGTGCTCGGCAGCTACAAACATGGTGGTACCTCGAGGGGAGACAACATGACATCCGTCATGCTCAAAACGGACAGTGTAGCCAGCCTTCATAGTGTTGCTGATAGAGATGAGAGCGAAGGGCATGGATGGCATATAGAGAACATCACGTAGCGTAAACTTCACGCTCCTTCCCTTGTGTACAGTGTCAATGCAAACATCACCTTCACCTGTGACATAGAAGATACGTCCATCGACTGAAGTGATCAGCTTGCACTCGGTCTCCCGGAGGGTGATGAAATTTGCGCATACTGGATCGAAGTGTCAGCTTGCGCCAGAATCGAGAATTCTGGTGAGCTTTGGGAGCTTCGCTCCCTCGACCTTCGAAAAGTCAGTCGCAATGGCGAATGCAAATGCCTCATCGTTCCCTGTTGCTGCCGCATTCGCACTGGCTCCCTCAGAGCCCTTGTCGTGCTTTCTTCCCCGGTTCTTGCTCCGTGGCCCTTGGCCCTCCTTTCCACCACCCTTTGGCCAGCAGTCCACTTTCAGATGGCCAGGCTTACTTTTT